CACTTTTTCTTATGACTAGTCTTTCTCAGGTGACATTGTCGTAGGTTTTCTGAAATCGAATTTTCTAGAAGCAACTTTATGCAGGTCGCTTTACCATTCCTACTAAAGCTAACGTTTGTCATTCCTGTTCTTACGCGATGCCAAATAGTCTTCATAACAACATGACGTGAAAATCACAATATTTCAGGAGATTCTCGCATATCACAATGCCCGAATATACAGGCACAACAAGATTGATTCCTTGGCAACCCCTCATGATGTTGTTTTCTGTGAAAAGCACACATCTCAAAATTTCTGAGGAAATGCGTATCAAGAATACTTTAATGAAAAAGTTGTAAGACATTAAAACTATACTTAATAAATGTTGATTAAAGAACAACATTGTGAAGTGTACGTCTGATTTATAAAGTTCCGAGTTTATAGGAATTGAGCTACAAGAAAGCTGTTGTCATGAGTCTTATGTTATCCTTAGTTCAAGATAAAAATACCATATCATCATGTGTATTGAATGAATGGCTTTATGAATAAAAACTAATCACTTTTGTGTTTATCACGTCTATTGAAATCTTCTATTTTAATAGTGACTGAGTGTCTTTCCAGATTTCTTCATATTCAAGTACTTTGTTATCTTTCTTTTTGTCAGGTCGCTGCTGCGCTAATGCAAAGATTGAATTTCTTCAATGTGTCCAAAGCGACCACAAGTTTTAGAGTGCTTCGCTACCCAGATTACATCACTTTATATTTACAATTTTTATCGGTATTTTAAACTTCTATACCGATGTTTATTTTCACCCTGTTACAACGACGTTGTATAAAAACGATGACACCCGATGATAAAGCCTCAACATAGCGGAAACTCACAATGAGTGTGACCGGGCTTGTTCGCACAATACTGCATGCTCCGTGAGCGCGTGCCTGCCTGAAAAATGCAGTAAATTGCTGACATCTCTTTGCAGCAAGCAGTCTTTGTACTTGAGTCAGCCACTCAAAAATCACCAAATTTAAGGGCACGTTATCTTTGTAAGATAATATATCAGGATAAACAGACACATATTGCGAAAAAAGTATAGAATATGTTATTAGAGTAATTCTAGTATTGTAAAGAATAAAATATGGACAAAATGGCTGCTTGCCAACGACGAGATTAGAATGTGCGGCCTTCCAATAATTCATCCAAAGCTATAATACTCAGCCCGTCTGTGAACGTGAACCCGTCTGGTAGCGTCATCCGCTGCCATTATGGCAAGCCTCGAACACTGTATTTGCGCCAGTCTGGTGTCATGTCGCTCGTGTTTTTATTACGGGATAGTAATTAAACAAAGATACCTGTGCATACCACCTCTAGGCATCAAGTCTGCCAGAAAGTGACCCTCGCTATGACTTCCGGAATCTGTGAATTTACATGGTAGTTTTCTTTATTAGACCAATGTTGATGAGGAGAGAAGAGATGATAAAGCCAAGAGAAGTACACAGGGCTGGCCGCCACCATAGCTCAGTAGCACAGAATAGGACGTGTTGCTCGAAAGTCGCAGCTTCCGATACTGGCAGTGGCACGTGATCTCTCCTTCCACTTTTGATACGCACTGTTACAATACCGTTACCTCTGAGAACATCTCTTATACGTCCTTGGCATTACTACGTATTCTTTTTTGTTACGTCTGGTTCTGAAAAAGAAATTTAATATAAGACGTACTTATCTCATTTATTGATCAAAGCGACTGTCCCGTAGAGCTGCATGGCTCATGAAGTGGAGCTAGCTGATAAACGAAGACTTGTGCCGGTGGCCGATCTGTGGGCAATCCCTAACAGAGGATCCGACGTTGCTCGCTGCGATCTTGGTCTTTGATTATCTAAAAAGCGGCAAGATGCGTCAGATTTCATATGCGCGGCCTCGAAGATTACCGTCTTATCCAGGGAAGCTGCGTAAGTTCCATAATAACATCTACTGTTTGTGTTGGTTGCTAAAGATTTTTCGAACAGTCTAAAATAATTGAGAAAAAAGTCGGCCTTCTGGCACAGCGCATGCAAGAACTGGTTACGCGTGAAATGGGTCAGGTTCATGAAAATGGAGAAAAAACTAAAGGAACAACTTCGTTTCTCAACTTCAGTATTTACTGCTTTATTTGATCACGCTGCACAATTTTCAACACGACGGAATAGCCTTGCAAAGAGTCTTCGTTCGCCAAGGTCTCTGGCACAGATTTATAAAATGTGCTTACAACTCAGCATGTGACAAGATTTCAACAAAGTTAGCAAACTGCGTTACAGGGCACCATGAATACACATGTTAGTGACACCACGTTTGACCAGTCTTGATTCGACTGACTCAAAGGGCAACTTGACTCAAAGCTTCTTATAGCGGCACTCGTTCGTCCCTCGTAGCCACTGTAGTATGTAACAAGTATAACATTTTGACCTCCAAAGTAGCGCCGGTGAGAGATTACTTCTGTGCGTTGTTGAACAATAAAAAATAGTGTTCAATGTACATGCCAATGGCTGATAATGGGGAATGAGAGACAGGAGCATTCGGCTTTTAGTTAACGCGAACGCTGCGATCCCCATTAGCAGCCATTGGCATTTTCATTGAGCACTAAGTGACAAGAAAGGGTTGCTACGTTATATTCGCTGGGCGTAATCTTCTTGGTTTTAGAAAGGTTTAGAGAGCGTTGGGCCGCAGTGCCAAGAATACAATGAACTAGTATATACCATCAACTCGAGGTGGTTAAAGGTGGGAAGTAGGTATGAAGCGCAAGCCGCAAGAAAGTGTGCGTGTGCCACCTCACGTTTACTCCCTGGATTGTCCACTGGATGGCGGTGCTCCTATATGGAGAATATATGATAAAAAGATGCGAGAGGGTGGTACTTGGAGTGTTGAATAGATGGAAGAATGGACACACAGACAGATGCATAGAAGGACGCATGAACGGACGCAGGGGCGGATGCATGGACGAACACAGGAACGGAAGCACGAACAGGCGCATGCACGGATGGGCAGATGATTGCATGGAGGGTCGAACGGACGAACGCATGGACGGACGAAAGCAAGAACGAATGGACGGACGAATGCTTCGCCCCACTCTCCATCACTCATTCCGTGGGTATGCTGCCATTTTTTCTTGATTCCTTGCTTGTTGAATTTCAAGGCTTTGCAGCAGATTTTGGCCGTGTAATTCGTGTTCTAGTAAAGTTAGATTATGATTGGGCATTATGGAATCTTGGAACGATTTGTACACGCATTGGCGAAGAACAAGCGCTGGTTACAATGTGATGCAGAATGAAGAAAGGTAAGGGCGTTGTGCACTCCTTGCTTCTCTCTCTCTCTTTTGTGTGTGTGTGTGTGCAGTTTTTTTTGTTATAACGTTGAGATACAACGAAAAAGCACTTTTCGCTAAAGCGAGATTAAGTGCGAGTGAAGTTACGCTTGTGCTTTCAAACGATGTGGTAGACTCGTGCCAGCGCCTTTCCAGCAACTACAGACGACGCAGCAAGACTGATCTCAACGCTACCGCAGCGCCATCGTCTGGTCGGCGACTGCAGTACGCTGCTCCGCACCACCGGATCACAGGATGAAACAATTCAATAATTTTTGTCTTTCAGGTGTAGAGTAGTGGGCAGTGTGTCAAGCTCAAAATGTGTGATGTGTTGAGGTAGTAGGTTCGACTCTGGCTCACTCTCTTTTTTAATAGATTTCTTTTTTCACTGCGTGCGTGTTTCAGCTTTAATTACCATGTGCGCATGATCAAGAATTTAAAAAACAAACTAAAAGCCAGATTGTGGCCGATAATGGTTATGCCAGTGTGCAGTGCCAGCATAAGTCGTGCAACGTGGCACTGTCCCAGTGTCAGCGCCACACTTGTCCAGTAATCAGGTATGGCGCTAGGCCAGTGCCCCTGGTTTTGGAATAGGATTGTGCTGATGTTGAAATGACAAATACACCTTTCTCATTCGTGCTTTGTATATCATGAATTCTCACAAAACGTGAGATCTGCCTTTTTTATAATTTTGTAAAAGATATCTTATGCAATTTTTGTTATAATTATCCTGGAAAAAGTAAGGGTATAATGAGACTCCCTTTTTCTAAAACACTAGCGGGTCAAGCAAAAGCGCGTCAAAATGCACAGTACAGAATGGACAGTCATTATGTACATTACTTGCATGCACCTCCCGAGTAATGAAAAATAAAAACGCTACTTCTCGTTGCTCCAACGTCTCGTTCTCTGGGTCATTTCTCCTCACTACTTATTCGCAAAATATTCTTTTTTAAAATATGCACAATTTCATTCAAGTACCGACAGGTGAAAGAGGTTACTCGATCTGTTATTTCAAATCTTCGAATATTCGCGCACTTGTACTCAAGCATTCTCCCAGTTTCGTAAAACACCCATATACCGGGTCGCAGTCTTGCAGTAAGAAAAGCAATTCTTGTTTTGAACGCCATTATCTTGTTTCATTTTATTCGCATTCGCATAGGCATACACGTAGCACAATAATATTCCAATATAATGAAGGCATTTATTGTTTGTATATATTTAGCGTACTGTTGTCATTATTACTGCATATAAATTTTGCATCTAAGAAGCATCTGGTGTCATATTTGGCTGAGTATTTATTTAGCCGAAGGCTCTACCAAACTCTTCTAGTTATTAACAGGAAACTTTACTATCTTTTTTAGCACTGGGCTGCCATGGGTAGGTATAACTTTCGAAATAACAAATGGGTGAGTTAATGATTGCTTGCGAACACATTGTGCAGTTTTATGGACACAGTGTCATACTTTACGCTCGCATACAGGAACATCTGACTGAATACCCATTGTATAGTGTACGTTGCAGTTTCAATAGTTTGCCGTTCACCATCTAACCGCTTTCGCCATTTCAGGTCAGTTCCTTATGACTCTTATTGCAACAATTCGTATAACGAGGAATATAAATAAATAAACAATAAGCAAATTAATACATTACGATAATAAAATACCTAAATAAATGTAAATCAACAAGAAATATTCAGGCTCAATGCTTTATTTTAAGGCTGATTTCAGCTTTCGTTTAGGGTCTGCTGAACAGGCAAACTTAACATAAATGTTCCGGTGGTTCATTGAGCTGCATCTGCAATCTCTTCTGTGCGCGGCCTGAACATCACTTCCAGGCTGGTTGCAAGAGGGCACATACTTAGCGCCGCTGAAAAAAACAACAACAAATGCATGATGGTCACGCGTTGTGTTACGTGAACGTTTACAGCTCTCAATGATCAATATATTATTAAGAAAACAGGCAATATCATAAACGTACACCCTTGGGCTTCAATCGTACATAGATATATTTACGCAGTGTACTGAATTGTGTTTGTTTCTAAATTAGCTACACAGCTATTTCAGTTCGTAAACATATGTACGCCTACTTAGCGAAAAGGCTGTGCCTCCACCTCGCAGTTATAAAGATAAGTTCTAAATGTGAAGCATTTCTTGGAAAAGTTTAGCGACTTTGAGCGTATCTATCTATCTATCTATCTATCTATCTATCTATCTATCTATCTATCTATCTATCTATCTATCTATCTATCTATCTATCTATCTATCTATCTATCTATCTATCTATCTATCTATCTATCTATCTATCTATCTATCTATCTATCTATCTATCTATCTATCTATCTATCTATCTATCTATCTATCTATCTATCTATCTATCTATCTATCTATCTATCTATCTATCTATCTATCTATCTATCTATCTATCTATCTATCTATCTATCTATCTATCTATCTATCTATCTATCTATCTATCTATCTATCTGTCTGTCTGTCTGTCTGTCTGTCTGTCTGTCTGTCTGTCTGTCTGTCTGTCTATCTATCTATCTATCTATCTATCTATCTATCTATCTATCTATCTATCTATCTATCTATCTATCTATCTATCTATCTATCTATCTATCTATCTATCTATCTATCTTGCTGCCTGCGACTTATAGCTCTCTTTGCCGTTTAGATTTTAGTATCAATACCAAACCTGATATGATATGGCATGACTGTATTACGAACATAACTGACTAGTCCTAACCTAAAAATATGACATGGATGTTATAAATCTCACGATTTACATGCCATAGTCTTGATGCTCTTGCGGTGGTTTTATTCACTTGATATGCTGCAAAACTGGTATGGTATGACATGACTGCATGGCGAACACAAGCAACATGCGTTTCATGTCATGCGTGATATGCGTATCACGTAACAACATGTGTCATATCAATCATGACATGCGTGCCATGTAACAGCATGACTACGTGCACACTCATGATGTGCTCTCGGCCGTTTCGCTAGCTTTGCTCATACAGAATTTGGTATTACGGGACGTGAATGAATGGCGAAAGTATGTGACTGGTGCAAACATGATAATCATGAGATGCGGGTGATGTAACTACATGACTACATGCGATGCTCATGATGCGCTAGCGACCGTTTCGCTACCTTCCCATAAAATAAATTTGGTAATATCCCTATCCCCGAGGGCTTTGCTGCAGTTGAGCTAACAATACTCGGACAGAACGCACAACATTGTACTGAAGTATATTTAACACTACTAAATTTAGTGCTTTGTCGTCACTTCTTGGAATTAGAGAGAAACTACTACCACCAAACAAAAGAAAAAGCATGGGTACCTCATTTGCTCCCACCAGGCGAATATATTCATGGGAATTCTAGAAACCTAAATCCTGTCTCACTGTGAGAAGAAACCTCACACGTACCTTCGGTGCTTAGCTGACATAATTATATTATGGGGACATGGGTGCAAAAACTAGATAAATTCACTTGATTGCTGAACTCATTTCATACAACAATAAAGTTCACCTACGATTCCTCGACTAACCGCATCAACTTTCTAGACACCACCATTTAACTTAAAAATGGTGTACTAAAGTCAACGCTGTAAAAAAAACACTTGACAAGCAACAGTACGAAGAATATACAAGCTACCACCAGAGATACTGTAAAAATGGCATTTTCAAGAGTCAAGTGAGAAGGTTACGCCGCATATGCATAAAAAACGAAGATTACGTAAACAGACTTACCGCTCTAAAACGATCACTAAGAGATAGAAATCAACCTTGCACATTCTTTTACATAGACTATACGGACGCACTGGAACTATACCACAATGAAGCACTAAAACCGTGCTCCTAAAGCACAACAACCGCAAGCATACGCCTCATCTTACTACAAAGTTTTCTAATACTTTTCTGAAGATGAACAACGTCCTCACAAAATATCATCAAATTTCAACAACCAACCAGAAACTTTAAAAACTTGTTGCCAAACCGCCTTAGGTCGTCTACAGACACGACTCTAACTGCAAGGATATGCTTGTTAACACAAAGTTTAAAGCAAAGTCTAGAACAACTTCTGGCCCCTGTGGCTGGCCGAGATGCTCAACCTGCAAACACATACAGCTGGCAACCAACGTAGAAGCAAAACATTTGATTACATCCACAAGGTGACATCGAGCTTCACCCTTTTTTCGTACCAACCTACTATACTGTCTCGAGTGTGGCACTTGGCGGAAATAATATATAGGCGAAACTGGGCAGCCAATTCATGTAAGACTGAATGGCCACCGTGCCGACACAAAGCACACTTCACCAAAAGTCGTAGCCGCACACTTAAATCCACAGGACTACAATGTCGACCAAGCATAGCTCTAGGTTTTACTAACTAATTTACGATCACCTCGAAAAACCAAATGCACGGAATCGTATTTGATACACAAATTTCAGTCGTTCAGTAGCTACACCCGTCAGGAATCAATGCAGCGTGCGGCGATTCGGAGTTGCAAAGGCCATAACAGAATTGGAGCAATATTTACAAAGACAGATACACTGAGCCCTCAAGTAGACATAACTGGTACTCCATAAAATCTCTCCTAGTCTACATATCGTACCATTGTTATTCTCTTTCATTTTTTTATTTTAAATATAGATATGCTTGTGTCTATACACTACTACGAAGTTTTTGATTTCTGGAAATTTCAGCCACTGCTTTTTTTCCTCGCTTTTAAAACCAATCCCGCCGCGCATCGTTAGTCATTGCCAACACAAAAAGTTCCCTGTGTCACCTCCACCCTGCCACACTTTTTTGCCCCGATTGTTAGCCTTAGCGTCCAAATTAACCCCACCCTGCCTCATCCATTCCGTTTTTTTATTCCTTTTCTCTTTGTGTGTCTTTTGTCGTTGCTCATTTCCGTTGCATTCTCAAATATCCTTTATCTGAGCCAACATGCCGATAAGTTCTTTAGGCAATTTTTCTGAGCGGGCCACCGACGAGGATACACAAAAGATAGTTTCGCCAATGACCGTCCACATTAATTACGTGATCTTCCGACCCCATCCAGCATCGCTTACCTTCGGCATCTTGGCATATAGAAGTACGCCGCCTCCCCCCCCCCCCCCCCTTTTTGTTTTCTTGTAACCACGTTTCTTGTTAGGAGTAGCACTCATAGTGTTTCGAGAACTGATGTAAACCGCTATTGTCGGCAACCTTTTGTAGTGGCCGGACACGGCAACAGTCTGCGGACTTCGAACTTTCAAGCTCTTTAAATTTTTTGTGTCCATAGCGGACTTTGCTTTGCAGCGCACCCCTCCTAGTTTGCGTGTTTTTCTGCCTCTTTTTTCTCTGTTTGTCTTTTTTTCTTCTTTTCTTTCTCTGTCCTACCTCATTCTCTAAGAATATTTTTAAATTCAAGTGAATGACGACTGCATGCCTCTGATCTTTAGTTTTTCTCTTTCAAGACGGCAATAGCCAACAGGGACCCGCGCCACCACCAGAAGATGACGTCACTTTTAACTTTCTTAAAGCTAACGCGCGAAAGATGACAAGGTGCCTTTCCCGAAGGTGCCTTTCCCGGCCAGCTTGTCCAAGGCACTTCGACAGTTCAACCTTACTATCCCACTACGTGTTTCCACATGTCGGCTCCCATATAGATTTTTGATTTTGCAAGCAAAAAGCTGATTGCCGTTCTTAAAATGACTTTGTAATTTTTTCTGTTGTTGAAGTATTGCACATAAATGCTCTGGTAGCTCTCTAAAGAGACGTTTCACTATCTTGTTATACCAACCGCTATGTGTGGTAAAGGCCACTTTCAAATGCGAAGCATTTCTTAGCCAACTTCAACGACTTCCAGTGTATTTATCAAACCGCCTACGACTTTTATCTCTCCTGGCCGTCTTGAAAATGGTATCAATGCCAATATTGATATTACTTAACATTACCGTATAGCAACAATGATTGTCTAGTCAAAACATGGAAATCATGATACGTATGCCATGAATGTCCTGATTTAAAATTCAGTGTCTTGCTGCCATTGCAAGTGGTTTCGTTCACACGACATTTAGAAATAGTAGTATTATACGACATGACTACTTTACAAACAGAAATCACAGACCCTTACCTGGTAATCACGACATGCAGGTCATGATTTTCATGTTATGACTAGCCATGGCTACGCAGCACGCTCATGGTGCGCTCATGGTCGTTTTGCTAGCTTCAAATGTAAGAAATTTCGTATTGCGGAACGGAAATGAATGACAAAGGTTAATGACACGTCCAAACATAACAACCATGACTTGCGTGTTATGTAAATCACGACTACCAGCTACACTCATAGCACGCTTGCAGCCGTTTTGCTAGCTCCACATATACCAAATTTGGTATCAGATGACGTGAATAGGCGATGGAGGTAAATGACACGCCCAAACATATAATCAAGATATGTGTGTCAAGTAAAACATGACTACATGCTACGCTCTTAGCGTGCTCCTTGACGTTTCGCTAGCTCCACACATACGACATTTATTTATATATGGCGTGAATGACACGTTCAAATGATATGTCCTATTAGTTGCCCATTAAATGACGTGAATTACACGTCCAAAGATGATAATCTGGATATGCGAATCATGGAAAAGATGACTACATGCTACGCATATTACGCGCTAGCAGCCCTTTCGCTGGTAGCATATGTGCCGAATTTCGTATCAGCTGACGTGAACAGACGGCAAAGGTAAATGACACGTCCGAACATGATAATCGTGACAAGCGTGTCATGTAAAACATGACTGTCTGTTACGCTCATGTCGTGCTCACGGCCGTTGCACTGGCTCCACATATTCCCAATTTGGTATTACGTGACGTGATGCACGATGAAGGTAAATGACGCGTCCAAACATAATATTCTAGATATGGATGTCATGTAAAACATGACTACATGCTACGCTCACAGAGCGCACGCGGCTCTTTGGCTCGTTCCACCTATATTAAATTTTGTATCGCATTACGTGAATGTACGAAGGTAAATGACATGTCCAAATATGATAGTCATGACGTGCTTGTGATGTAAATCATGACTACATGCTAAGCTCATAGCGTCCACACAGCCGTTTCGCTAGCTCCACATATCACGTCATGTGACACTAAATTTTGTATCACGTGACATGAATAGTCTACGAAGGTGGACTGCACATACAAACATAATAATCGTGGCATGCAAGTCATGTACGGAATAATTTATGTCCACCTCCTAGCATCGTGCTGACCTTAAAGTTACATATCAACGTCTCTAATACGTGCTACGCATATCATCGATACCAACAGTACGTGGAATCTGTTATTTTTTTTTTTACTTATTATATTCGAAAACATTTATTGTTGTGAAAGACATGTATGAAAATTTATGGCTTTGCTTTTTATAGTAATGGTGTCAAATTCGCTTCGTCGATATACACATTTCAGCAAGATGCTGCTCATCTTCATTATCTTTCTTTGTTTTAGGCGCGTAATGTAGGACCAAATCCGATGGCGCAACGCTAAAAATTTTTTGAAATTTCGCGCCACTCTTTCTAGTGACTAGTCTCTTTCGGGTGACATTCGTGTAGGTTTCCTGAAATCGAATTTTCTAGAAGCAACCTTATGCAGGTGTTTTTACAATTCTTACTGAAGCTAACATTTGTCATTCCTAATGTTACGCAATACTCAAATATCTTCATAACAACACAAGGTGGAAATAACAATTGTTCAGAAAATTCCTACCTATGACAGTGCCAATAAGCACAGCGAGACTGATATCTTGGCAACCTCTCATGATGTTGTCCCCTGTGAAGTACACACATCCCAAAATTTTTGAGGAAAGGCGTAGAAAAAACAATTAATTGAAAACGTTGTAAGACGTGAAACTATACTTAAAGAATATTGAACAGAGAACAACATTATGGACTTCAAGTGTGATTTATGAAGTACCTAATTTATTGGATATAAAAATTTAAAGCACGGAAAGAATGAACCGTGAAGAATTTTCTGGGACTTGAATGGGGCAGCATCTTGACCTTAGGAGGGTAGTCTTGCTTGATTCTTGGTCTGCCTTTTTAGAAAATCAAGTGTCTTCCATATTTCGGCGCCAGTGTCTTATATAACCCAAAGCAATTAAATCAACACAAGTTAAAAATGATATCATTACACGAAATAGTGAAGAAGATTTACTCAAAGGCAACGGTTAAACAGTGAGTTTGATAACACTGGACTGCTTCTATATAATATTACATCACTGGCATCGTATACTTTAGTAAACTGCGTGAAGTCAAATCCTTGATTGCGTATTCTACATGAATATTTAAAACAAGCACAGTAAATTACCCCGCATTATCTTTATTTGTTTTCGGTGAGAAGTCCGGTAATTAATGACTGACTTAACAACTGAACCTCCTAATCTATCGCGCTCATTGCATTCCTTTGGGCTTATGTACCGAAGAGAAGATCTCGGTCTAACAACGAACTAACATTGAACATATATGAACTAACAATTCTGCGCTTCCTCGGATACGGCCCTAATACTCACAACATATTTTTCATGTAGATGATTAAATAACTCGAGCAATTTCTATTCTGAAATATATCTGGCACACACTGGAGTAGCCACATTAGAAATACAATTGTGTTGATCATTATGGTGAGATCTTTATGTGTACCACTAGAATGGGAGAAAATAATGAGCGTGCTTTTCAGCATATCGTGATTGGAAATACTGAAAATATGTCTTAAATGCGTAATTCAGAGCAGAGCGAATAAAATTATATTCACAAATGCAAGGTTCTATTTCTTACCTTAAGCACTTCAGAAAGCAGCAGGCAGTGATGTGAAAGTATGCGGTGTTCTGAAGAGGCAAATCACCCGCACTTTTATATACAGTGATTAGCCAAGGGAAGCAATCATAATGTAGCTCACCATGAAAAAAAATCAACAGATAGATTAACCGGATAACATGCCACAGTCGTTGAACGTAATGCTATTTTGATGGATGGGTATATTAGCATACGAAAATTGAAATAAATTATATATGACTAAAATGTCAACCTCTTAGAAACACTAATAACGCGTCATATTCCCTCTACGCCTATTTAAGAAATGACACGAACAATTTGATGTGATAATAAAAGAAACAATAGCTCAGAAAAATTTTATTAAGTAATCGGTAATTAAACTGTCACTCAATCAGAAACACATCTCACGCAGCTCATTTGTGTCAAACAAAAATATGATACAAATCGTAGACAATGATTCGTCCAACATGGATCTTCTGCCATTGAAATCAATAAAAAATAATTACGGCTCCATATCTCAAGATGGAGAAATATCATTAGGTCCTGTAGATAAGACGAAATAGTGAAAAAGTTTATTTGAAACCTTCCCGAAAAAAAAATAATTTGCTTGACTTGTAAAACTGCGAGAATGTTTTAGCAAATATTCTCAGCCTGGTGCTTCGAAAATCTACTCGAATGTGCGACAGTTTGTCGGGCAATTTCGAATATCTTGCAGAATTTTACGACCTTGCAGAATTTTACGTTTTTACGACCACGTATTTTTTTATGTTAAACTAAAGAAAAGTCTTCTTGGCAGCATTTTGAAAATGTGAAAACTTGTGGTTTCTAACAATTTAGCCAACTAAGATTTGCTTTCTTGTATACAAATTTTGTGTTATACTTTCAAGATCCCTCTGCCTGCATCTACAAATCTTGAAAGCTACAACGCTCTTGTCATAACACAAAATATTTTTGTCTGTGGCCCGAGAGGAGTAACAGATTTAGGCTACGACATTACCAGAGGCCAATATGAGCCTGATTAGAAATTAAGGTGACGATATAGTTGTCCGCATGCAAATCTATCGAGTACTTTTATTTACTTAACAGTCATGGCTTGTATGTAATAATTGGGTCTGCTGGCATTGTATGGTCCAGCCATTTTTGTGTCAGCTATTTGTTATAACAAGTCCAGTTCCCGAAGTGCGCTGAAAGTCACGTCTTACCTGGAGGTACTTACCGGTCACCGCTACAACGCGTTCACTGCTCCAGTGACGGATACTTTGGTGTTGCATTCTTCCTCTAGCCTTAAGAGAAGCACACAACTGTTATCATTTTCTACATCTCTCTGTACTGTAAAATGTACAAAACAAGGACTGCCCCTGTTCGTCAACCACTGCCTCGACATTTACAATGAAAGTTCCAGCACTAAGGGTCCGGTCTCTACGGCTAAACTATATTCTTGTGTGACCAGCGTTGGGAAGATGGAGGTCTTCCTCACGAAGCATACCTTCCCAACTTGGCGAGCATTGACGAATGAGTTCAAGAGCATAAAAACAGCCGATCTACTGTCACTTTCACCCCACCTCCACTATCGACTCGAGAAGATTTCCGAAACAGTAGTTGTCGGTCATGACCACACCAAACGCCCTACTCAACCTGCAGTGTGAATGATTTCCACTTTGAGGCTGCTGCAATATCTTCTTTGGCAGTCATATCTCGGCGTACTGACCTTACCAATGGCCATTTAGCTGTGGTACTAGCCAGAAAGCATGTGCACCTCTCTATCGTGGTTACGTCTACACCTCTCCGTTCTCAATTACTGTGGGAGGTGTGGCCACGAATTGCGTTACTGCCGTCGTTGCGAGGTGAATGAAAAAATGAATAAAAAAAGAATAAAAAAATGAATGAAAGAAAGAATGAATCATATTCTCGAAACTATTCCGGCATCATTGTTCTGCATGCCAATTAGAAGGACCTAAACAAGAGACATAAACTTAAATAAGGAATAGTTTAGGCTTCAAAATCCAGTCAAGACCCCGAAGAAGCGCAGCTTTACGAGGCATTCAAACTAGGAATCAGAAAAGGACGCGTCCAGTGCACCATTTTTTACAAGAGCGTTTCAGACAAAATTTCGGCGAAAATAATTATGCAGGCGTAGTTTTAAATATCGTACTTTTGAAGCAGCAGAAGAGTGCTGTTAGTAAAACTCTAAAAACGGAATAGGCTCCCCCATAGAAAACAGCATCTACCGAAGGTGGAGAAAAAGAACGTGGATATGAAGAACACTTTACACTCGAGCAAAACTTAAATATTTCCCGTTTGTACCATCTTGAGCAATTGTTGAAGGTATAATACGAGTAAGCATATAATAAGGTTTGTAAAAATTATTGTGCGCCAACTGAACATTTCACCATCTCTGTCGGCGTTAGAGAATTCCACATAACTAATTACCTCTATTAGACCCGTAACACGTGCTGAATATATTTATTTATGTTCATCTTGAAATACCTGGCTGAACGGCTCCGAATATTTGCGCGAGTAATAACTCACTGCTTTTAATGGTGGGTGAAAACATTTCTGGCCAACACCGCGCATCATTTGCTGCAGAACGTGTTTAACAATCATGGAAGGTTTGCACCAAAAGCAAACGTGCGCGAGTTGTAAACTGCTGAACTGAGTCGAATACAAGTCCTATAGCATTGTCAATGGAGTATTAGCCCAGTTGTTCTCGAGGACGAAAAAAACAATTTTTAAGACAGTTTCATTAGCAACAGCATTTATTTAGAACAAACACTGGAAACGTTAACAATGGAAATTTACAACTAACCCGAACCTGAAAAATGCCAGGTATGTGAACTAATGTAAGCGGTTGGAGCAGTGCCAGCCTACGAGACATTTTGTAAGTGTACACTGAAATTCAGTGGTGACATCACAATTGATGTGGTGATTTGTCATCATCATTTTAAAATAACTGTTGCCAAAAACAATCAGAACCAAAGATCTCGTGATGAGTATAGACCATTTCTGTCACATTCGGTTCGGTGACGAGTATGATTAGGTTTCATAGTCGCGTAGAAGGTTGGGCATCACGTGTCTTAACAAAAGACTGTATGGATGGATGATGAATGAAAAACTTTATTGGGGTCCTGAAGCATTCCACCCCCATTTTATAGGGGTAGGATTGCGGGCCACACTCATGTAGGGAGCGGGGACGCCTAGTCTCACCGCTGCATCAAGCGCCTTCCGGACAGCCTTAAGTTGTTTAATGAGAGCCGCACTCGTGAGAAGAAAATAAAAGGAATTATAGGAAAATTCTTCATTTTTTTCTTGTAAAAAGGGGCACGTTCAGAGCATGTGGATAAAATCACTGTGATTTTGGCAGTCCGGAGAAAGTTATAAAATATCGGAGTAGTGGCTATATGTTACTAGGCTAGAGTAGGATCCCGTCTGAAGCATGCGAAGAGAAATTGCCTGTGGCCTAGACAACTTTTTGTGTGGTAATGAAAAGGACCTACGGCCTAATTGATAGTGCTTCGTGATCTCGTTGAAAGATATCAAAATGTCCCAAAAGTGAAGGTTCGGGGCTGATTCCTGTGTCTGAGAAGCACAAGTCCCGGCGCGGTAAGTGAAGCCTCGTGCCTTGGAGTGGGCTAGCTCGTTGGTATTGGGAGGGCCTCTGACCTTCAAGCCAAGGTGAGCAGGGAACCAAATAATAGTGTGGTGGGTGAGTTCCTTGTGGGCTAGAGTTCTAAAGTCTTCCTTACACACGATCCAGAAGCAAAGGCCCTAGCAGCGGAAATAAAGGTCGTGTAAATATCAGTCCTTTGTGGATCAAGAAGAGCTAGTCCAATGCCCATCTGTCCTGCTTTGTGAGAATAAGTGGTTCGAACCGACGCAAAGGATAAAATCTGACCCATAGTACCTACGGATACTACTGCAAAGTAATCGGAAACGCCGTACTGGGCGGCATCAAAACAAAATAAAATTGTGCCTTCGATCTCCAAACGTGTTATTCTATTAGGGCATCACTGCCGCTGCTGCTAGTTAGGAAGATATTCGCAAAATATTCGGTATTTTCAATACGGGCATTTCATCCTAGGGCCAAATCGAACAAAGCAATATTCAAAAATTTTTAGGCTTTTTTCATATTCACAAACCCCTAGAAGGTGTGACGATTGTGTGTGACAATTGTGTAGCGAATAAGAAACACACGTGCATTTTTGCTAATAATAATAATAATAATAATAATAATAATAATAATAATAATAATAATAATAATAATAATAATAATAATAATAATAATAATAATAATAATAATAATAATAATAATAATAATAATAATAATAATAATAATAATAATAATAATAATAATAATAATAACAATAATAATAATAAAAAATAAAATAATAATAATAATAATAATAATAATAATAATAATAATAATAATAATAAAATTAATCCTACTAATACTTGAATTTATATAGTTATTAAATTATATCTGGCGTAATAGTGTTGTCGCGTTTTGCCTCGCAAATTCTTTCGCCCCGGTTTTCGTATACATGTGTTGAAGTTGAATGTTCTATCAGAAGAAACCAGTTCAGACTAGCTCATTAGTGTTTTGTATCCACCACGCGTTCTTTTCTCCTCCGGCCGCCATCCACCATTGTCGCCAGATAATAAATTTCTGAAGCAGTCACACATTCGTGCTGTGACTGTAGCCGAGTCTTTGATGAAGCATCCTTAGAAAATCAGGACGCCCAAGAAAGCTCGCTGTTCGGTGACGATACTTGGCTGAGGGGCCTGCAAGATAGGCTTTAACTTTCTAGGTGTTCAAAAAATACTATATGCTGTAACTTTGTGCCAAAAATAAGGGGCGGACAAATTGAAAATGCACACTTCTGATCTTATACGGTGAAATTATGCTGTGCATTCCGTTGAAGCACCTTTTCCACGCTTTCTTGACTGTCTATATTTTACCAAAAACGATGACGTCATCGATATAGCAGCCCATATTTTGTAATACTTTCCAGGACCTCAATCGATTGATTGATTGATTTGT